TACTATGCAAGGCCCAATTTGCCTAATAAGCCAAGTTTTCCTGAATTAATATATTTTCTCTAATTTTTTTCTTATGAAATGATAAAGCTACCCATTTCATTATATATGAGATCAATTTTTTTTATTGGAGTTAAAATTAACGTAGATATATGACCAAACCTAACCAACCCTCCCTAACCTAACCTAACCTATCTTTATAGGTTAGGTTAGGTTCGGTAGCATAAAAAGTTAGGTTAGGTTAGGTTAGGTAGGTTAGGTAGTCGAAAAACAATTAATTCATGAAAACTTGGCTTATTAGGCAAATCGGGCCATGCATAGTAGGCTGAGAAGTGCGTTCTGGCTATTAGGTACGACATATATATATATATATATATATATATATATATATATATATATATATATATATATATATATATATATATATACATACATATATATTTAGGGGTACCACCACTGGTTTAATTAAAGGGACCCACATCCTCGAAGAAGAAAATAAATAATGTTCAGAGAATACCTTGTGGATTCTCACTGAATACTTTAATCTTTTCCTCTCCTACCACCCCTATTATTTTTTTTTATTTGATTTTATTGCAATGCTACAGTTTACAGAAAATACACACTTATATAACAATATACCAATCAGTGTTCGAAGACCTCGTCCAGCTCCTCGGGGGTCGGGTGCGTACCCAAGAGACAACACTCCTCTTGTATACAAGAGGAGTGTTGTTAACGCATATGTCGACCGTGCTCTCAGCCACAGCTCAGAATGGAAGCAAGTCGACGAAGAACTCTGTAGGGTAAGGCAGGTCCTAGTCAATAACGGCTTCTCCAATGGTTTCGTCGAAGACATCATAAGAAGGAAAGTGAAAAGCCATGCAACCTCTGAAGAGACAACTAACACAACACCTATACCCCCTATTAGACTATTTTACAGGAACTTCTTTTCCACAGCTCATAAAATGGAGGAAAGGGTCCGTAAAGATATTGTTAATAGAAACGTTATCCCTACAGACAAAAATCAGAGGATACAACTGACGATTTACTATAAAACCAGAAAAACGGCCAGCCTACTCATGAGAAACTCTCCAGACACAAAACAGAACGCTTTAAAAGAGACTAACGTCGTCTATGCCTTCAAATGCCCACTTGGGGACTGTAAGCTCCAAAAAACCCAGTATATAGGCAAGACAACAACATCTCTTTCTAGGCGTTTAACGATGCATAAGCAACAGGGCTCCATTAAGGAAAATATAATCTCTTCCCACAACCAAACCATCGCCAGAGAAATCCTAGTAAACAACACAGAAATCATCGATAGATACAGCGATAGCAGGCGACTTGACGTTTGCAAGGCACTACACATCAAGAAGTCAACACCAGCAATCAACAGCCAATTATTGCACAACTATATTCTACCCACCTCACGACTCCGCTCCAATATAGAAGCATCAAGTAATATGGACCAATAGGCTTTCTACAAACACTTCTATTCAATATCCATGGTTTCGTGTTCTGTCTTGTGTTGATGAAATTAATACCCTATTAATACTCTTGTTCTGTCTTGTGTTGATGAAATTAATACCCTATTAATACCACATTTTGTTCTGTCTTGTGTTAATGCCACATCACCCCTTCCACCTCACTCAAATGTAGATATAAAATCGGAGATGCGTAAGTTCTATTCAGTTGTGTATTTGTGAACTAAAGTCTTTGAAAATGTAATGAGTTTTACGAAACGCGCTCGTGTCGCGTCAGACTAGAAATAAAAATGAATTTTGGAGAATTGATTTTTGATTTACCTCCAACAGTGAAGCGAAATGTACGAAAGATTGAGAAAATTCGTGTTAGAATTATTAATCTTACTTTTTCGGTCATATTTAATAATATATGTCTACAGGAAAGACTGCTACCAAAATATACTAGTATATATATATGTATATATATATATGTATATATATATATATGTATATATATATATATATATATATATATATATATATATATATATATATATATATATATATATATATATATATATATATATATATATATATATATATATATATATATATATATATATATATATATATATATATATATATATAACTGAAAACTCACACCCCAGAAGTGACTCGAACCCATACTCCCAGAAGCAACGCAACTGGTATGTACAAGACGCCTTAATCCACTTGACCATCACGACCGGACAAAATGAGGTGATAGCCGAGGCTATATGAACCACCCCACCGCCGGCACTCGGATAGTTATCTTGGGCATAGCATTTTACCAAATCACCTCATTCTTTGGGGCACACGTGAGGAACACAAATGCGAACAAGCCTGAATGGTCCCCAGGACATATTCAACTGAAAACTCACACCCCAGAAGTGACTCGAACCCATACTCCCAGAAGCAACGCAACTGGTATGTACAAGACGCCTTAATCCACTTGACCATCACGACCGGACAAAATGAGGTGATAGCCGAGGCTATATGAACCACCCCACCGCCGGCACTCGGATAGTTATCTTGGGCATAGCATTTTACCAAATCACCTCATTCTTTGGGGCACACGTGAGGAACACAAATGCGAACAAGCCTGAATGGTCCCCAGGACATATTCAACTGAAAACTCACACCCCAGAAGTGACTCGAACCCATACTCCCAGAAGCAACGCAACTGGTATGTACAAGACGCCTTAATCCACTTGACCATCACGACCGGACAAAATGAGGTGATAGCCGAGGCTATATGAACCACCCCACCGCCGGCACTCGGATAGTTATCTTGGGCATAGCATTTTACCAAATCACCTCATTCTTTGGGGCACACGTGAGGAACACAAATGCGAACAAGCCTGAATGGTCCCCAGGACATATTCAACTGAAAACTCACACCCCAGAAGTGACTCGAACCCATACTCCCAGAAGCAACGCAACTGGTATGTACAAGACGCCTTAATCCACTTGACCATCACGACCGGACAAAATGAGGTGATAGCCGAGGCTATATGAACCACCCCACCGCCGGCACTCGGATAGTTATCTTGGGCATAGCATTTTACCAAATCACCTCATTCTTTGGGGCACACGTGAGGAACACAAATGCGAACAAGCCTGAATGGTCCCCAGGACATATTCAACTGAAAACTCACACCCCAGAAGTGACTCGAACCCATACTCCCAGAAGCAACGCAACTGGTATGTACAAGACGCCTTAATCCACTTGACCATCACGACCGGACAAAATGAGGTGATAGCCGAGGCTATATGAACCACCCCACCGCCGGCACTCGGATAGTTATCTTGGGCATAGCATTTTACCAAATCACCTCATTCTTTGGGGCACACGTTCGCAGACTCTCCAGACACAAAACAGAACGCTTTAAAAGAGACTAACGTCGTCTATGCCTTCAAATGCCCACTTGGGGACTGTAAGCTCCAAAAAACCCAGTATATAGGCAAGACAACAACATCTCTTTCTAGGCGTTTAACGATGCATAAGCAACAGGGCTCCATTAAGGAACATATAATCTCTTCCCATAACCAAACCATCGCCAGAGAAATCCTAGTAAACAACACAGAAATCATCGATAGATACAGCGATAGCAGGCGGCTTGACGTTTGCGAGGCACTACACATCAAGAAGTCAACACCAGCAATCAACTGCCAATTATTGCACAACTATATTCTACCCACCTCAAGACTCCGCTCCAATATAGAAGCATCAAGAAATATGGACCAATAGGCTTTCTACAAACACTTCTATTCAATATATATATATATATATATATATATATATATATATATATATATATATATATATATATATATATATATATATATATATACATATATATATATATATATACATATATATACATATATATATATATATATATATATATATATATATATATATATATATATATATAAATACATATATATATACATGTATATATATATATATGAATGAAAACTCATTCATATAGTCCTGGGGACCATTCAGGCTTGTTCGCATATATATATATATATATATATATATATATATATATATATATATATATATATATATATATATATATATATATATATATATATATATATATATATATATATATATATAATTTTATGGTGTCTTTACAAAACATACATGTGCATGTCGTATAAAAGAGCTTGGTGTACTGTTTAAGAAAGCATTTACTGATAGGCCTTGCCTTACGATCACAACACAAAATGTAACCACATTCTCTGGCCTCCTGTTTGTTCTCTGATTCGTCGAGTCTTGCTGCACTCTGATAAGACGGATCAGAAGTGAGCACTGTTGTTCCTACTAGATTCTGTCTGAAGCTGAAGTAAGCTTGACACCCATGTGCTGTTGCTAGGGTCAACACTGCCTCAACCATTACCTCTAGAGTGCACGATCATACCTGCTTGTTCCTACAGGAGCAGGGGTGCCAGTGTTCACAATGGTCACCAGAAATACGGCTTTCACCAGTTCTATCATCTTACCTTTACAGTTACTTCATGGATGGTGTCACCAGTGACAAGCCTCAGCAAAATTCCTTGCTCTAAAGTTCTTCAATCGACTGCTAATATACAGGGCATCCTAACAGGTCGCTCGGCAGTTGAGGTACTGACCATGTATTACCTGCATATGTCCTGCTAGCTACAGACGCCATCATGGTCAGTGCAATAACGGGCTATATCTGCATGTGTGTTTCATGCTATTTATGTTGTTGGTGGCAGGATATCACAACATCCACTTTTTACTTACTCAGACTAACTGATGGGTTGAAGTTGCAACGTTTTCTTGTTTAATATCGACTACGAATTTTAGTTACAGCTTAATACAATGACTATGGTACCAGTGCAATAATTATAAATTTCAGTTACAGTTTGAATGGGATTATAGGTACGACGTCATTCTTCCACTGTGGCAGGTAGCTACATGCATAAACGTAGTGCATCCTACAACAACAACAACATTCCCTTACTCACTCTGTATGGCCGGGTGGGTTGTAGTTGCTGCCAGCCACCCGGGAGAGAAAATTGCAGTCGAAGCCGCTGGAGGGAGGAAGCTGCCAGCTGCAGGTGTCGTCCAGGAAGGTACAGTCGCCCCACCCCGGGCTGGAGTTGGGCGGCAGACCTGTCCATACCGCTCTCTTAGTCCAGTCATTGGTGAAGACTTCCAGTGTTCACAGCTAGCACCTAGTGTGGCTTTATTCCTAGCAGTGTTCACAGCTAGCACCTAGCTTGTCTTCATTCCTAGCAGTGTTCACAGCTAGCACCTAGTGTGTCTTCATTCCTAGCAGTGTTCACAGCTAGTACCTAGTGTGGCTTTATTCCTAGCAGTGTTCACAGATAGCACCTAGTGTGTCTTCATTCCTAGCAGTGTTCACAGCTAGCACCTAGTGTGTCTTCATTCCTAGCAGTGTTCACAGCTAGTACCTAGTGTGTCTTCATTCCTAGCAGTGTTCACAGCTAGCACCTAGTGTGGCTTTATTCCTAGCAGTGTTCACAGATAGCACCTAGTGTGTCTTCATTCCAAGCAGTGTTCACAGCTAGCACCTAGTGTGTCTTCATTCCTAGCAGTGTTCACAGCTAGCACCTAGTGTGTCTTCATTCCTAGCAGTGTTCACAGCTAGCACCTAGTGTGTCTTCGTTCCTAGCAGTGTTCACAGCTAGCACCTAGTGTGTCTTCATTCCTAGCAGTGTTCACAACTAGCGTGTCTCCACTCCAAGCAGTGTTCCCATCTAGTGTTTCTCCATTCCTAGCAGTGTTCACAACTGGCCTCTAGCGTGTCCTTCCCAATAGCCTTCATAATAAGCAGCAAGGCTTGTCTGAATTCCTAAGCGTTCACAGCTGGCGCCAAGTGTAGACGGTATAAAAAGGGGGTGGCCAGGAGTAAGGTTAACACAGGGGTGGCCAGGAGTAAGGTTAACACAGGGGTGGCCAGGAGTAAGGTTAACATGGGGGTGGCCAGGATTAAGGTTAACACAGGGGGTGGCCAGGAGTAAGGTTAACACAGGGGTGGCCAGGAGTAAGGTTAACATGGGGGTGGCCAGGAGTAAGGTTAACATGGGGGTGGCCAGGAGTAAGGTTAACATGGGGGTGGCCAGGAGTAAGGTTAACATGGGGGTGGCCAGGAGTAAGGTTAACATGGGGGTGGCCAGGAGTAAGGTTAACATGGGGGTGGCCAGGAGTAAGGTTAACATGGGGGTGGCCAGGAGTAAGGTTAACACAGGGGGTGGCCAGGAGTAAGGTTAACACAGGGGGTGGCCAGGAGTAAGGTTAACACAGGGGGTGGCCAGGAGTAAGGTTAACACAGGGGGTGGCCAGGAGTAAGGTTAACACAGGGGGTGGCCAGGAGTAAGGTTAACACAGGGGGTGGCCAGGAGTAAGGTTAACACAGGGGGTGGCCAGGAGTAAGGTTAACACAGGGGGTGGCCAGGAGTAAGGTTAACACAGGGGGTGGCCAGGAGTAAGGTTAACACAGGGGGTGGCCAGGAGTAAGGTTAACACAGGGGGTGGCCAGGAGTAAGGTTAACACAGGGGGTGGCCAGGAGTAAGGTTAACACAGGGGGTGGCCAGGAGTAAGGTTAACACAGGGGGTGGCCAGGAGTAAGGTTAACACAGGGGGTGGCCAGGAGTAAGGTTAACACAGGGGGTGGCCAGGAGTAAGGTTAACACAGGGGGTGGCCAGGAGTAAGGTTAACACAGGGGGTGGCCAGGAGTAAGGTTAACACAGGGGGTGGCCTGGAGTAAGGTTAACATAGGGGTGGCCTAGAGTAAGGTTAACACAGGGGGTGACCAAGAGTAAAATTAACATTGGAGTGGCAAAGAGTGAGGTTAAAATAGGGGTTGCCAGGAGTAAGGTTAACATGGGGGTGGCCAGGAGTACGGTTAACATAGAGGTGCCAAAGAGTGAGGTTAACATAGTTGTGGCAGATAGTAAGATTAACATAGTGGTGGCCAGAAGTAAGGTTAACATAAAGGTGTCCAAGAGTTAGGTTAGCGTAGGGATGGCCAGGAGTAATGTTAACATAGGGGTGGTCATGAGTGAGGTTAACATAGGGGTGGTCAGGAGTAATGTTATCATAGGGGTGGTCAGGAGTAATGTTAACATAGGGGAGGTCAGGAGTGAGGTTAACATAGGGGAGGTCAGGAGTGAGGTTAACATAGGGGAGGTCAGGAGTGAGGTTAACGTAGAGGAGGTCAGGAGTAATGTTAACATAGGGGAGGTCAGGAGTGAGAAGGGAGGTGGGAGTAGCGAGAATGAGGGGAAAAACATAGGGGTGTTCACAGTTGTTGTGTCTTCATTCCAAGGACGTGTTCACAACTAGCGTGTGAACACATCCCTCACCCAAGTGAGGGATGGCCACGAACTTAGTTAGAGACTGTTGGCCAGGAGAAAGGTTAGAGAAGAGGTGATCAGGCAACGAAAAGAAAGGGGGTGGCCAGGAGTGAGGTGAGAGACGGGAATGTCGAAGAGTTTGGCCAGGTGTGAGGGAAGAGAAGAGTGTGGCCAACACTGAGGGGTAGAGAAGAGGGTGGCCAGGACTGAGGATAGAAAAGAGAGTGGCCACGACTGAGGGTAGAGAAGAGGAGGGCCACGACTGAGGTTAGAGAAGAGGGTGGCCAGGACTGAGGTTAGAGAAGAGGGTGGCCAGGACTGAGGGTTGAGAAGAGGGTGGCCACGACTGAGGTTAGAGAAGAGGGTGGCCACGACTGAGGTTAGAGAAGAGGGTGGCCAGGACTGAGGGTAGAGAAGAGGGGGGCCACGACTGAGGTTAGAGAAGAGGGTGGCCAGGACTGAGGGTAGAGAAGAGGGGGGCCACGACTGAGGTTAGAGAAGAGGGTGGCCAGGACTGAGGGTAGAGAAGAGGGGGGCCACGACTGAGGTTAGAGAAGAGGGTGGCCACGACTGAGGGGTAGAGAAGAAGGTGGCCAGGACTGAGGGTAGAGAAGAGGGTGGCCAGGACTGAGGGTAGAAAAGAGGGTGGCCAGGACTGAGGGTAGAGAAGAGGGTGGCCACGACTGAGGGTAGAAAAGAGGGTGGCCAGGACTGAGGGTAGAGAAGAGGGTGGCCAGGGCTAAGGGTAGAGAAGAGGGTGGCCAGGACTGAGGGTTCAGAAGAGGGTGGCAAGGACTGAGGGTTCAGAAAAGGGTGCCAGGACTGAGGTTTGAGAAGAGGGTGGCCAGGACTGAGGGTATAGAAGAGGGTGGCCAGGACTGAAGGTAGAGAAGAGGGTGGCCAGGACTGAGGGTACTAAAGAGGGTGGCCACGACTGAGGGTAGAGAAGAGGGTGGCCAGGACTGAGGGTAGAGAAGAGGGTGGCCAGGACTGAGGGTAGAGAAGAGGGTGGCCAGGACTGAGGGTAGAGAAGAGGGTGGCCAGGACTTAGGGTAGAGAAGAGGGTGGCCAGGACTGAGAGTAGAGAAGAGGGTGGCCAGGACTGAGGGTAGAAAAGAGGGTGGCCAGGACTGAGGGTAGAGAAGAGGGTGGCCAGGACTGAGAGTAGAGAAGAGGGTGGCCAGGACTGAGGGTAGAAAAGAGGGTGGCCACGACTGAGGGTAGAAAAGAGGGTGGCAGGACTGAGAGTAGAGAAGAGGGTGGCCATGACTGAAAATAAGAAGAGGGTGGCCAGGACTGAGGGTAGAAAAGAGGGTGGCCACGACTGAGGGTAGAAAAGAGGATGGCCAGGACTGAGGGTGGAGAAGAGGGGTGGCCAGGACTGAAGGGTAGAGAAGAGGGTGGCCAGGACTGAGGATAGAGAAGAGGGTGGCCAGGACAGAGGGTAGAGAAGAGGGTGGCCAGGACTGAGGATAGAGAAGAGGGTGGCCAGGACTGAGGATAGAGAAGAGGGTGGCCAGGACAGAGGGTAGAGAAGAGGGTGGCCAGGACTGAAGGGTAGAGAAGAGGGTGGCCAGGACTGAGGATAGAGAAGAGGTTGGCCAGGACTGAGGATAGAGAAGAGGGTGGCCAGGACTGAGGATGAGAAAAGGGTGGCTAGATTTGAGGGTTTAGACGTTGCCAAAAGTAAGAATAAATTATTTATAAAATGAAAGGTACAAGAACGATAAGTATGAACAATACAAAAAGCTGTTGAGATAAATTCCTTTTTTTTAACTATATTTTGTGTAACATAGTACACATTATATATATATATATATATATATATATATATATATATATATATATATATATATATATATATAATATATATATATATATATATATATATATATATATATATATATATATATATATAAATAATATATATATATATATATATATATATATATATATATATATATATATATATATATATATATATATATATATATATATATATATATATATATATGTTGAGAACAGAGTTGTTAGCAGCGCTTACAAAAACTTGTTAAGTGACATTTCATACCGGGAGACTGAAATAGATGAAGAAGCAGATAACATTTCAAAAGAAAAAGAAGACAAACGAATCATACACTTAACCTTGCATGTTATAAGACTACAGTTCTCGTTTACTGAACACCGAATTAGTATGAGGGAAGAGGTGGTGTGAGGGAAGAGGTGGAGTGAGGTAAGTGGGAGGGCAACAGCGGGCACCACTCACTAGGACACGCTCCTTGCGTGAAGGAGATGGAGTCAAGGCCAACGTCTCCTGCCTCAGGGCTGCCAACGGAGGCTTCAAATATTATTTGAAATTCTTCGGCGGAAGCTACTGTCTGTTGGCAGGGATACCACCTGTAAAACATTATAATTATTACAGTTATGTCCCTGTGCAACACACACTAAATGTTCACACACACACACACACACACACACACACACACACACACACACACACACACCCGCAGGGGTCAGTCCTGGACCTATACTGTTTCTGATATATGTAAATGATCTCTCAGAAGATATAGACTAGTTTCTCTCAATGCTTGCTGATGATGCAAAAATTATGATGAGGATTGAAACAGAGGATGATAGTAGGAGGCTCCAAGATGGCCTAGACAGACTGAGTGAATGGTTCAAAAAATGTCTGTTGAAGTTCAACCCGAGTAAATGCAAAGTAATGAAACTAGAAACATGAGGCCAGACACAGGATACAGAATAGGAGATGAAGTACTTAATGAAACAGACAGAGAGAAAGATCTAGGAGTTGATTGATGATTGTTGCCGCCGAAGGCGGCTAGTTTATTGTGCACCCCATACTCATAATGTGAGCGGTAGCGCAAAAGCATTACAGAGGGCACAAAAGGTCTTTATCAGACCTCATCTTAGATTATTACATAAACAATTTCTTCAATCCTTCACACCTTATAGATACAATGTCAGCTAGTTACAGAGAAAGTGCTATTACAAGAGCTACATATTTACAGTAAGTCATCATACATTAATGGTAGGTCTTATCGCTAATACATAATAGTTTGGCCAATGGGGATATTACAGAGTCATAGGGGAGCTTCTGTTTATTATTAGTCCTCACAATACACTACTTGTTTCTGAATCTCATATGTCGTTCACCTACTGGAAGCGAAATGTGGGTACAGTGCAAGGATTTCAGGTAATTTATCCATGGTAATAAGATAGGTTGCCATATCATACAGAGTGAGCTTAGATTTATCTCTAAAAGGCTCAATTTTACAACAATCCAAGATATAGTGTTCGAGTGTGTGTCCCTGCCTATGTCCACACACTTTACACTTTACTACATCTAGATCCCTATACAAGCCGAACTGCCAGAGATACTTGTAGCCAAGTCTTATACGAGCTGTGACAACATCTGTTAGTCTACTGACTTTGTTACTTGCCCCATACACATGTTTTACTTCACACATTTCATTGTGATGAACAATGGACCTGCTAGTTCCAGTTTGCACTGTTCTACTTTCTTCAAATTCATCCAGGAGTTCTCGTCTAATGACACTTTTAAGGGACCTATTTGATAACTCAAGATTCCGTTCAATACTGTCTTTATTTACTGCAGCCTTAGCAAGGGCGTCAACTTTGTCATGTTCCTGCATGCCAATGTGAGAAGGAATCCACAACATTTTTATATTTACCCTCTTGCTAAGTGTTCTTATATATCTACGTCTAGCTTCCAAGACAAGCACGTTATTACTTGATTGCAAACTGTTTATTGCTCGTAGTGAGGATAGGGAGTCTGAAATAATTAAGCTGTCTACTTCAGTGTTGTCAATAATTTCGAGTGCTACCAGTATCGCTACCAACTCGGCTTGCATTGTAGACGCCCAGTTACTAATTCGAATATTTCTTTGAATTGTGCTGCCATCGGGCTGATGAGCAATAACAGCACTTCCTGCCCTCCCTGTAGCTGTATTGAGTGATCCGTCAGTGTATATGGTCTGTGCAATGTTGTTTTCAGCTTGTATATTGCGAATGTGTTCTATGGTGCTTAATTTAATATCACACCAAACCTGTCTCCTGAAGCCCACATAAAAAGAATAACGTCTAAGGCATATGCGAGGCTGGCTAACATCAGAACAGCGTTCAGGAACCAGTGTAAGGAATCATTCAGAATCTTGTAAACCACATATGTAAGACCAATCCTGGAGTATGCGGCCCCAGCATGGAGCCCGTACCTTGTCAAGCACAAGACGATGCTGGAAAAAGTCCAAAGGTATGCCACTAGACTAGTCCCAGAGCTAAGAGGCATGAGTTACGAGGAAAGGCTGCGGGAAATGCACCTTACGACACTGGAAAACAGAAGAGTAAGGGGTGACATGATCACAACCTACAAAATCCTCAGGGGAATCGACCAGGTAAACAAGGATAAACTATTTAACACTGGTGGGACGCGAACAAGGGGACACAGGTGGAAACCGAGTACCCACATGAACCACAGGGACGTTAGAAGGAACTTTTTCAGTGTCAGAGTAGTTAACGGATGGAATGCATTAGGCAGTGATGTGGTGGAGGCTGACTCCATACACAGTTTCAACTGTAGATATGATAGAGCCCAGTAGGCTCAGGAATCTGTACACCAGTTGATTGACAGTTGAGAGAAGAAGGCAAATATGGTACCAGTTTTCAAGAAAGGAGATAGGGAAGAGGCCGACCAGTGTGACTGATAAGCATCTCCTGTTTGAAAGAATAATCAGGTTAAGACTCGATACACACCTAGAGAAAATTAGGTATGCAAACAAACACCAACATGGGTTCAGGGAAATCATGCCTAAGAAACATTCTGAAATTCTATGATAAAGTAAGAAGAATTAGGCAGGACAGGGAAGGATGGGCAGACAGCATATCTCTGGACTATCAAAAAGCATTTGATACAGAACTTCACAGGAGACTGCTATTCAAATTGAGAGGCAGGTGGGAATAAGCAAAAAAGCCCTAGTATGGTTAAGGAACTACCTAACAGGTAGAAGCCAGAGAGAAACGGTAAGGGGCGAGAAGTCGGACTGGCGAACAGTAACAAGTGGAGTACCTCGTGGATCGGTCCTGGAACCAAAAGACTGGCATTCCAAAAGGAAAACTATGTGGAGATCAGAAAATTCCTAAAAGATATAATATGGGAAACAGAGCTCAGGGGAAAGACGGGACAAGACATGATGGAATACATCACGCAGAAGTGTAAGGAGGCAGCTGATAAGTTTATCCCGGTCCAAAAGGGAAAACAATAAATGTAGATGAGAAACCCCATGGTTTAATCAGAGATGTGGGCAAGAAAAGCAACTGAGTAAAAGGGCGTGAAGAAACTATGGAAATAACAGGACACTTGAGAGCAGAGAAGGATACCAAGGAGCTAGGAATGAATACGTCAGGGTGAGAAGAGAGGCAGAAAGGCAATACGGAAACGACATAGCAAGCAAGGCAAAGACTCTACCTAAATTGCTGCACAGTCATATAAGGAAAAAAACAGTGAAGGAACAGGTAAAGAATCTTAGGATAGGGGCAGACAGATTCACTACAAATGACAAGGAAGTGTGCGAGGAACTCAATAACAAATTCCAGGATGTCTTCACATTAGAGCAAGGAAAAGTTTCAGAGATAAGAGAAGGAATAGTTTACCAGGCACCACTATAGGAGTTTGGGATTACCAGTGGGATGTAAGGAAGCTTTTGGTAGAGTTGGATGTGACAAAGGCTATAGGCCTGGATGGAATATCACCGTGGATACTAAAGGAAGGAACAGTAGCACTGCGCCTGCCACTCTCCATAGTGTATAACAAATCACTGGTAACATGTGAACTGCCAAAAATTTGGAAAACGGAAAATGTAGTCCCAATATACAAGAAAGGGAGGAGGAGGATAGACAGGAGGCACTAAACTACAGGCCAGTGTCCCTAACTTGCATACCATGCAAATTGATGGAGAAGATTGTGCGAAAAAAATTAGTGGGACATCTGGAGCGAAGGAACTTTGTGACACAACATCAACATGGGTTTAGAGATGGCAAGTCATGCCTCACTGGATTAATTGAATTTTATGATTATGCAACAAAAATCAGGCAAAAAAGAGAAGGCAGACTTCTTCTTTCAGGTGGGCAGACTGCATATTTTTGAATTGTCAAAAAGCCTTTAACAGTATCACACAAGAGACAAGTGCAAAAGTTGGACATACAGCCAGGAGTGAAAGGAAAGGTACCCCATTGGATAACGGAGTACTTAAGTAACAGATGACAGCAAGTCACTGTGAGGGGTGAGGCCTCAGATTGGCGAGGCGTCACTATTGAAGTCCTGCAGGGTCAGTCCTTGGACCTATACTGTTTCTGATATATGTAAATGATCTTCCAAAGGGTATAGAATCGTTCCTCTCATAGTTTGCCGATGATGCAAACATTATGAGGAGGTTTAAGTCGGAGGAAGATAGTATAAGGCTACAAGATGACCTAGACAAACCGAATGAATAGTCCAACAAATGGCTATTAAGGTTCAACCCGAGTAAATGTAAGGTAATGAAGCTGGCAGTGGAAATAGGAGGCCAAACACAGGATACCGAATGGGAGATTAAGTCCTTCATGAAACGGAGAGACAGAAAGATCTAGGAGTTTATATCAAACCAAACTTATCTCCTGAAGCCCACATAAAAATAATAACATCTGCGGCATATGCAAGGCTGGCTAACATCAGAACTGCCTTCAGGAACCTGTGTAAGGAATCATTCAGAACCTTGTGAACCACGTATATAAGACCAATCCTGGAGTATGCGGGCTCCAGCATGGAGCCTTGTACCTTGTCAAGCATAAGACGAAGCTGGAAAAAGTTCAGAGGTATGCCATTAGGCTAGTCCCAGAACTAAGAGGCTTGAGTTACGAGGAAAGGCTGCGTGAAATGTATCTCACGATGCTGGAAGACAGAGGAGTAAGGAGAGACATTATCACTACCTACACAATTCTCAGAGAAATTGATAAGATAGATAAAGATAACCTGCTTAACACTGGTGGTACGCGAACAAGGTGACACATGTGGAAACTGAATTCCCAAATAAGCCCCAGGCACGTTAAGAAAAACTTTTTTAATGTCAGTAGTTAACAGATGGAATGCACTAGGCAGTGATGTGGTGGAGGCAGACTCCATACACAGTTTCAAATGTAGATATGATAGAGCCCAGTAAGCTATGGAATCTGTACACCAATTCATTGACAGTTGAGAGGCGGGACCAAAGAGCCAGAGCTTAACCCCCACAAGCTCAATATGGTGAGTACAACTAGGTGAGTACACACATGTAAAGAGTCAAAACAAATAAGCACAAGGGCGAGGAGAAGCTAAAGAAATAACA